TTATCTGTGGTATAATTACGCTTGTTTGTTTTTCTTCAGTTTGCTTCTCTTTTACTTTTTCATTTGAAGTTCTTTTTGGTACAATTTTATGCAGCCAAGTATTTTACTCTAGAAAGTTTTTGCGAAGTTATGGTGCTATAAAATTAACAAATTAGCTATTTTGGGACACCCATCGGGAAGGCTTTCAGCCTGCCTCAATTCACCTAAATTGAATTGGGCAGGCTGAAAGGTTCAATTAATATGTCATTAGTTTTGTTAGTTACATATGGCATATGGGGTAGAAGGTTGCGGTTCAATTTTTTTAAATAAAGATGACGAAATAGTCTTGCTGTAGGTAGCTTTGCAAAAAAAAAGTTTTTGTCTTTTAAACCAATAGTTTTTATGCCCTAGGTTCAAAATTGAAAAAAAAAAAACATATTTTCACCTGCAACTCTCTAAAGCTAATGGAAACAAAAATTGCTTTTCGGATTCTTTAAGATAATTATTGCCTCCTTTTCTTTAATTAGCGTGTGTAGCAAGTAAAAAAATAATTTGGCTGAGAAATTATTCATTCGAAATTGAATTGCGGAAAATTTTTTGGTTTTAGTAACGCAAATGAACGATATTTATATCATTTTCCGCATCCAACTTCAAGCGTTTTAAATCAATTATTTAATTATTTTAGTACCAGTCTTACTAAACTTTTAAAAAATCCATTATAATCAATTAACATTCGATTATAATCTATCTCTTTGACAACAAACTATAATCAATTATAAAAAATTTTTTCGATTACGATTATTCGTTTTTCGGTTCTTTTTCAATCAATTACAATTGATAACGTTTGTCTCATTTTCTAAAAAGTTGTTTAATCACAAAAAATCCATTTTAATCAATAATAATTGATGATAATTCCGTCTGAATGCTCATTTTATCTCTTCGATTTTGCATCTGACTTGCTTATATTTTATGTTTTTTAGACGTTGGCTGATGTGAAAATGGGAGAATCGTTTTAGCAGTTTTCTAATGAATTCAAACTTAATGATTTCTTGGTTTTTTTTCTTTTAGAAATGTTTCATGAGCACATTTTCAGTTTTTCTAAACATCAAAATATCTGGGCATTGTTTTGGTTTCATGATTTATTTGGAAGAGTTATTTTCACCTATAATAACAGTTTGTCAAACTAAGAAATTATAATCGATTATCATCAGTTATAATTGATTTAAAGAACGTTTTTCTTTGAACTATAATCAATTATGAAGGAACATAAGAAATAATGTTCTCTTGGAAAACATCACGATTATAATCTATTATAGGTCTTTTAAATACCTAATTTTGGTAAATAAAATTATATAAAAAAAAAAGTAATATTCCACTATTATGAATTATTTTAGCCTAAAATCAAATGCGGTTGAATTTTAACGTGGTTTGTGGGTAAAATTTATGAAGCTAAAGTCTTAAAAAGTTTCTAAAATAAGTACTTAAGTTTGTAAGATTTTCCCCAAAAAACTACTTTGGATGTATTGAAAATCAATCAGAATTTGTGCAGGATGTGCCTTGATACGTGCATTTTTCTATCAATTTTGTAAAATTCAACAGAATTGTGGTACGGCTTACAAAAATCACGCCACAAACAATGTTTCAATCTGTTCGAACATTTAATTGACTGATTAAAAAAAAAGAAAAAAAATTTCCGGTGTTTGATGAAAATTGAGGAGTGATTGTGCACGGTAAAGTTTTCACCTCAGATATTTTATTGAAGTTTAGGGCAATTGAGGAAACGGATTTGCCAACATCATACCAATACTTAGACCAGGCTGCAAGTTAAAGCGGCTTTGAGTACTTTCAATAATAATTTGGGTAAACTAATTGATCCAAAATTTGTTTTAAAAATCTGCCTCGCATTATATATGCGATTTTTTGTCCAAATTAAATTAGTTGAGATCCTGTGAATAACATGTTTTCATGTAGCTTTATACCACCTAAAGACTTTATATTCTTTAATTAAAAAAGAAGTTCATCGCACAATGGGGTTTAAATTTATTCGGAACTTTTTGCTTATTTGTTTTAGAATAGCCAAGGTTAGTGTCGAGTTTTTTATATGAGGAGTTTCAATTAAATGCGAAATTTTCTTTTTATTAATTGCTGCTTTTCGCAATAAAGTTCGGATATATTTGGTTTGATTTGATTTTTTGAGTTCAAAATTTAAAAATTGTCTCGTTTGATAAATTTTTTGCGATTAATTTGAGTTGAAAATTACCAATTTGACCAGCTTGGGACCATTAATGCTAGCAAAATTTCCATTTTAAATTACCACAGGTAAAAATTTTTGTATGCAGGTGTTTCAAATTTCTCAGAAGGATTCCAATTCATTTGAAGCCCGCTTAAATTTGACCATTTAATCCGTTAACAGACGCAAAACTTATCAACATAATTTTGTCTTTGTAACAAAATATCAAATTTTCAATTTTTTTCCGCAATTTTTTTCATTCAATTCAGCCAAACTTATTAGTAGTCAAAGCAATCAGACCACCTGTTACAAGCCATTTTGAAAAAATACCTGTATTGATTTAATTCAGACATATTTTGAAGCAGGTGATTTATTCAGGGCTGCAACCCACCGTTCTTTTTAAGCATAAAAGGCTCATAAAAAGTGGCTCATAAAAATCTTTAGGCTCATAAAAGGTGGCACTGTTCTCAATTTTGGACAGCGAGAATGAGTGTCTGTTCTTGTTTTGTATTTGACAAGTATTATGAGATTATTTAAAAATTGAACAGATATATAACTTTTATTTTGAAAAACTAATGGAGTACAATTTCGTTATTTTGATTTTTTGAATAACGCGCGGCATCAAAATTGTATCGACTAGCATAAAAAACGAAAGACAAACTTCAAATGTTGTCAAAATTGGTTGGCGTTATCTCAAACCAAATCTTGTAAGGAATTACATACCCCCCCCCCCCTCTACTGCTAGTTATCAAAGTTCAAATCATTTTACACAAAAACGGATCTCTTTAACAATTCTTCTACCTCTTGGTACCTAGTAACGAATTGTCATCCCTATGATAAAAAAATAATTTAACGGTTACGGATATGTGAATTTTGTACCTAATAACGAATCTCTCCCCTTTAGGAAAGGGATAAATAAGAAGATCCCAAAAAAAACATGTGTAAGCACAGTTTTTCCACTTATTTCACAATTTGCACGGCAATCAGTGTACGGTTTAAGCCATTGCAGGTCGGGGCAGGGGCGGATATAAGATTTTCTCGAGAGGTGGGAGGAACATTGAATCAAGGTGCGATTTAAAGAAAACTGATTGATCTTGCGTGTTGTTCCAACTTTCGTTGAAAGTGGCGAAATATTTGCGTTCAAGGTGATTTTTCCAGAACAGTTTCGACCAACTGAAAATATACTAACCTGTGGTCAATTTTTGCATTACTACAAGTGTTTGAAATTTGGCAAATTGGCTGATTCGGATTGTTAATGCACGGCATTCATAGTGCGTTGAAAGCGTGAGCGGCTATTTAATGCGGTTCAGAGATCATTCCAATTTGAAAGAGGCATACTAGGTTTTCTAATCAATCGAAAGGATATTGAATGGTATATAAATCATAAAGCATTCAGTATTTTAAGTAGTGTGTGGGGCTGATTTGCAACAAAACGATAGCAAAAAAAAATTGAAACATGTTTTTTTTTAAATTAAACACTACTCATTGACTTTAAAAGACAATTAAAACGTTCAGGTACTCAGCCTAATACGAGCAGCCTTGTTTAAAAACAGTGATCTAGGATGAGCAGTAGCGGATTTAGGGTGGGAGCTGACGTGCCATACAGAGATTCGACCCCTAAATACCCAATGGGTCCCCCCTTCGGTACTATTTAAGACATCAATTTCGGTTGACCTAATCTAAAGTTTGGCAACAAACTATACTAATTTTGAGCGGAGGCGCGCGCCAAAAAATTCGATTTTTTGGATCAAATTTTTCCAAAAAGTGCCTTGTGCCTAAGCGCTTTTTGGCCTGTTTCTTATAAAAAATATATCATATAAAAAAAACAATTTTTTTTGGAAAATCCGAACCCCCAACCTCGTGAAATTATTAGATTCCTAGATCCGCCCCCGGGTGGGAGGCAAAAAATCGAATAGCGTACGGGTCTATCAGAATAAACAGGGTGAAATCTGACATTATCTCCCTTATATTAAAATCTGAGTTATTTAAGAAACATAACTAAACGAAACTCCCAAATATTATATAGTTTAATTTGACTCGTCAAAACACTGCAGAAAAGGCCTAAAATAATGATCTTTCATCTCGGAACCTAGTTGATTGCCCAAAATGAGGAAAAGTTGACTTATAATTATTAACAGAAACTAAGTTAACGCTTGGAAACGTTTCGGTTGAAATAAGTCAGTGTTTTGTGCTGGCCTTCAATGAGCCTCAAAAGGTTTTTGAAGCTTATTCATAGAGCTAATTGACAACCGGCGTTGACTTTTTGCAGCTTAAATTCCCGCAGTCAGTCTTTATCTAGCTTAAGTATCTTGTACCTGTCGAAGCTTATATTTGGACTAACTCGGAAGGAATAATTAATGACAATTTCGTCCTTTCAATCCCCTAAGAGGTACACATTGCTAACAAATATCCCAGGGTACGAAAATCCGATAGCGCTATTGGCCGAAATTACAGGAAAAAAGTTTCAAGGTGAAATTTTGAGAAATTAGGAAAAAATGCAAAAAGTCGATGCCCCTGGTTCTAAACCAAAATTCGAATGAATGTTTATTTTTGGTATTAGTTTTTATTCTATTTTTCTAGCTTTTGGACATTGCATAGCTCGGATGTTGAAACAGTACCAGCTAGATACCTCCGACCCTGAGTTCAATTTAAAATTCATTTCTAAATCACCTATCTAACCCATCTTGAGTCAAACTGGAAGTATATAGTCGATTTGGAATTTAAAATGCGCATATTGATTGCCGGTTAAATGCCAAATCTTGTTCCGTCATTTAATCTCATTAATGTTTAGAGAACGACTTCCAGTTTTGGCACATTCCAGAAGTTAAAGGGGGAATTCTTACTTGAAGGGAAACTTACGAACTGTCGTACCTTTTTTTTTTAAATTTAAAACCCTGTATTTCAAATGGGCTATTTTTACTCTGTCAATTCCTTCAATTCTTGGCTTCCGATGGACAATTTCTGACCTTTTGATATTAAGCTTAACTCACATTTTGGTTTTCAATTATCCCTTAAATTTTTTACCTAATTTAATTACTATTACAAGGAAAATTTACATAAACGTCTTCTGAAAACCAATCGAGGCTTTGCTGAGAAGTGATTGAACGAAAGCTTGTCAAAAATAATTAAACACCACGCTTGAGTTACATTTTAAATAAGTGTTACCACTCGCTCCTACCATCGTCGGATTGTGTCGGATCGCGTCGAACAAAAGTTTCACTTTGATTAATTCACATTTTAATTTAAAATTTATCGTGTTTTCTGTTAAAATTTGGTCAAGTTGTCGCTCGATCTGGACAGAAATCTCAAAGTTGCGTTATTATTACTGTTACTTCTATTTAATTGATGAACTTTTGGACGATAAAATTGAAAAGACCGAAAATAGAATTTGCTTATTAAACAGGTCTTCTTATTTTGCAGCCTTGAAGGAACATACTTGATACGTTTGCATTTGAAAAAGAATTTCTTCTACTAAATTTTTATCTAGTATTTTTTTTACCTTTGTACAGCCTATCAAAATTCATCCATAAGGTGATGATTTGGGAAAAATGGAAACAGATTTCAGAAAAGCGATTCACTTGTTGACAGGAAACCAAAATAGAATATATCCCTCAATTGTTTTTAAGCACAGTGACTGAAAACAATAAAAAATTGTAGAAACATTGTAGCTTTTTCTTGACATTTCTATCATTTTTATATAAAAAAATCTCTGATATTTCTGGTGCCAGAATGCACAAAATTTAATTGTTTCCCGAACTAAAACTGATATTAAATTTCTATATGCTGAGAAAATTCGAGTATTACCCTGCACGTGAAATACCAGCTTAGATTTTTATCCCGGATTAGCAAAAAAGAACCGCCCCAACCCTATTTTCAGCAATTCTGGCTACGTGATGAAATTACCAGCGTAATAAAGTCAATAAAACTATATACCCTATTTAGGGCTATCTTCAATTATCGTTGAATATTTATCCCTTCGGAAATGATATACAACACTTCATCTTAATAGCTTTCAACCTGTTAGTATTCCAATCAGTATCATCCTGTTAATCAGATTTATTTATAGTTGTTGAAATTTCTTCAGTTAACTTTCGTAAAACTTCAATTTGACGAAAACAAAAAAGTTCAAAAACAAGTAGTTTATTTTGATCAGCACAGAATTATTGATATTGCTGAACTTAAAACCCTGATTTCATCAGCAAATAGCGGCACAGACAACCTACATTTTTATTGAATATTATTTCAGTCTCCTCCCAAAGTTTCTGATCAATAAATACAGCTTTACTTTCCCGCTTCCCAATTACTTTTTCCAAATTAAATTTACATGTCCCTGAAGTCATGGCCAACTACTGGCTGGCATTTGCTGCCCTACTTCTTTACTTTGCTTCATGTCTGGCAGTGTTAGCCGAGAAACATAGGCCAGTCGGAACTTATCGAGGAGCCGAACTGATGTCTGAGATTCTCGCGAACTCTTCCAAACATCTTCGTCCGGTGAATGACGCGTCTCACAGTACCGAAGTGGAGTTCAGGCTGTCGCTGTACCAGATTTTAGGTTGGTTACAGTGTTTTCTTAGAAATACTAAAAGTGATTTTGAAACCGTTTACTAAACCAGCAAACACATTTGTTGCTCAGAAGGAGCCTAAAGATACATAACAGCGCTTGTTGTTTTTCATGAGACCAGAATTGGCGTTTTTCTTATGTCTTGATTTTAGGATAATTGTAAAGCGCAATGTTTCGGCTATTGGCAAAACGCGTACGCTGCGTATCAACTGGGTCAAAATCAATCTGAATTAAAGTAAGCTTTTCATGCGAACAAATCCAAAATAGAGTTAAGCAAGACTGCTGGTATCACGGCAAAGCCCTGAAACTTCGGACTGCTTCTTTAAGTTTACAGAGAGAAAGTTCGAAAAATATAATGTTTTTTGAATTTTTATCAATGTTCCCACCCTCCAATGCAAAGTTTAAAGCGATATAATTAGAGTCTAGCAATAGATCAAAAACCCAAATAGCTTGCCTCACTTCAATTTGGAACAATTTTTGAGCCATATTAAATAGCCGCTTACGCGTTAAAAGCATAAAATCTATCACGCATTAACTGACCCAAGCTTGAAAAGTTTGCAATTTTCAAATCCCAATAACTCGACAAAAACTATAGAAGATTTTTTAAATATTAAATTGAGCTCAAGGCATCATTACGTTTCAGATGAAATAAAAACTCTGCTCAAAAAATGGCTAGTCAGAAAGTCAAAATTAGTCTAGAAAAATCAAACCGAACTCAAACATTCCATCCTTTCTTCGAACATCTGAACAAAAAGACTGCTCGTAAATCAAGGCTGAACATTGATTGTTATAAGTGGTCAAAACAAACTATTAGATGAAAAATTTATAAAAACAGTCGATAAATTTTTCTTTTTATTCATTTTTTTTTTCATTTTATTGCCCTTATCCTAATGTAAAGTTCAAAGGGATGTATTTAGCGTCCCGCATCCTAGAAATATGACAAATTAATTTCTTCTACTCAATTTGAAACAATTCTTTTTGCCGCTCGCTTGTTGTTCGTGAACGCAGTATATCACGAGTTAATCGAGTTAGTTATCCCAAACTGACCAAGATAGCATTTTTCAAACCACATCAAATTACAAAAATTAAACTGAATAAACAGAGATATTTCCTCTCCATCAAAAAAAAATTGTTTAAAAGTCCAAAAAGGACTAAATGAAAAACCACCCCAAGCTTAAACATTCCGTAAATTTCTTCGAAAGTCGAATTAAATATTAAACAAAAAATAAACAAAATATCTGTTGTGACTATTAAAAAATCTTAAATGAAATTCGTTTTTGAAAACTTTTCCGAAAAAAACTTTTTTGTTTTATTAAGTGAAAAATGCTTCAGACAATTGAAATCGTCCTAACCATATAACCCCGCGTCAAATCATCCGTTTATTCTCAAGCGTTCAGCAGTTAACGCGAAACCAAATGAACTCTAAAAAACTACTGAGACTTAGAAATTAATATCGGTATCAAGAATCCAGCAGGAAGTTACCTGAAGGAAGGAACCAGCATGTTGGCGGTGAGCACTAAAGCGTAAAAAATTGAAATACGGTGACCTAACAATAGTAATGCCATAGACGCATAAGGCCTTAACAAAGAGACCAATGGACGACTAGATTTTCGGAAATTAAACATGATTTTGAAAATTGTCCGGCAACAAAAACTTAATTGGCAAAAATGAACGCATATATGATACCACAACTGGTCATGTTAAAAGTAGCTTGTAGTAATTCAAATTTTTTTTTTGACTGGTTAGTTTCAAGTTTTGCCAGCTTTTGTGGATTGCTGGCTTACCAACGTAAACTCAAAAGATTGGTAGCTTTTAGAATAACATGAGGAGCGGTGGTTAAATGGTTACGTCTCCGTCTCTCAATAGGAAGTTCGAATGTTCGAGGCCCGTTGTGAACCCTGCTCGTTGCTGTAGGATGAGGCAACAATAACCAGCCACGAAAAATAGCCAAAAAATTGCCTGTAAATTTTAGCCAGCGGCAGAACAGCGGTTCTCCGGAAAGAGCTGAACAGCTCGTATGTTGCTCTTTCCATTGTGGATAAATCGTTTTAATAGCTTCCCAAAATGTGCAACGACGATGCGGATAAAACTTTCTCTGGAAGTCTTTAAGGAGACCTTTTTTTAACGCAAAGTTCATGAAAAACGAATTTTTATTTCAAAAAATTTGACAAAAAAAAACAAAACAGAATTGTAGCTCAATTTTGCCAGAATTAGCATGTTAATTTGAAGTTTTTTTTTGCATCTTGTTCTTCTTTTTATTGAATTGATATCCTCTTGAGGCGTTATAGAATTGAACTTCTGGACAGATCCGTTTTTTCGCAAGTTTTTTCGTTCATTTTCCATGGATTGTTCTTTTTTGTGTTCATTTTCCATTTTCTATGGGTTGGTATGGATGGTATCTTTTGCAGATGCTAAGAAAAAATTGGTCAATTAATCAAGTAAATTACAAGCAATTGTACATGATTAGATACACCTATCTAGAGAAGCAAGAGTAGCTGCTCAAGTCCCAAGTAGTGTAATACCTTGAAACCTACAATGGGGCGATCTTAGTTTGAAACAAATTGTCAAAAAAACTTTAAATGACTGCTCAATCTAGATGGCGTAGGGTTCGTTTTTTCATGCAATTTTAGTTCTATCGAATAAAAACGGCTGTGGTAAACAGCGATATCAGATTAATATGGCAAAAATTGTGTTTTTAAGTACTTCGAAAAAAAAGGGCAAGGAGGGGGGTGGTTACCTCATGATGGAGGGACCGATTGACGGAGAACTTTTAATCAATCAGAATCGTTAGAACTTTTTATTGGCTATATCATTTTTGCTCATAACCGAAATTTTTTTACCAGAAAATTAATTATAGCAGCACAGCAACGTTTTGCTGTGTAATTCGTGCAGATATCCAAAAAATATATTTTTTTTTTCATCTTTTTAAAATCAGATTTAAGTTTTTTCCAATTCCCGACATTGATTTTGCAATATTGAAAATTTCATGTATCTGCTTGTTTTATTGCTCAATATTACTTTTTATGGCCTGGATTTTTTCTTTTTCTCTGAGATTTTTTAAATTTTTTTGAATTTTGTGGAAACTCAATTCTAATTGACTAAATGCATTAAAAAAACCACATTCGATCCCTCTATCGTGAGCGACGCCACTGCGGCAGGTGATTACAACAGTGCTGAACTATAAAAGTGCCGAAAATCAAAATATCGTTCAACGATGCTGAAAATTTTTTTGAACACAGTTGTTACTCATCCCAAATCGCTGACAAGTAATTATATTCAAAAGGACGAAAGCTGAAGTGCCATTTAACCGATGGCCCCTGTTTAAGTTTCCCAAGCGCGGCGTCTTAAATTTTTCTGAACAAACATTTAACTCAGCAAAGTGTCATTTTTCTTCCGGTTCACTTCAAAACAAAACTTTGTTCACGCAAAACTGCCAACAATTCACAAAAAGAACTCAAAAGTCCAAAATATGATAATTTTTTGAGATTGTTGGACACATTGTCAGTTTCAAGACTCGAATTTAAAAAGCAACGACGAAAAACTGAACTCAGAATAAATTTTTGCTGCAAATTATGAATGATTTTAATTTTTTTAAATACCAATTGTGCAGTTTTTTCATGATTTTAATTTCTTTTTGCTTCCAAAATTTGATTTTTTCAACACATTTTTATAGCTTTTTTTATTGCATTTTTAGGCAGGTTTGAAATTTGAATTGTTTTATTTAAGTTATAAATTTTTTAGTATCAAAACTAATTTACAATTAATTTTTCAGTAAAGATTGGCGAACTATATAATTTTACGTACGAATTTTTGAAAGATAAAAGCTTGCAGGAAATTTTCATCAAAATTTTTTCTGGATGTTTGATTTTTGAACAACAGCAATTTTTTTGGTGGACACTCCCGGCTAAAAATTAAAATCTATTGACTCCGTGGTAAATCACAAACATATTAATCTCCTTTAGACATTGAAACTAATAACCAGCAAAAGTAAACTTATTTTGGCGATTAAATGACCAAATTATACTGTTGCTAATTGAGGCAAGCAATTAACGTTGTTATTACTTTTTTCTTGTTTTTGCCTAAATTGAACAAAAATGATGCTAATTGTTATAATGGGTGGCATAGCGATAAGCAGGCAGGTCTTTTGGCATGGTGCAATTGCTTTAACACAAAAACCAACGTTCAGCTTACTTTTTCAAAATTACATGATTTGGTGGCGAAATAAACGTAACATTTCAACATAATTAAATACAGGGTGTTTTACAAGTTTTTAATGAATAATTTGGCATATCAGTGATACCTCTGTTTTTGAAGCCATTTACACTGCATTAGGCAGCAAAAATTCAGTGAATTGTGGTAATACTTTTCATTAGGTAGGATAGTTGGGCCTTCTTTATGTACGGTCCAAAATATATTTTCTTCATATTTTGAAAAAATGATCATAATGTTTGAATCTGATTAATTAAAGTTATTTCCAGCGAACGAAAATCTGATTTTTAAGAGAAACAAGACTGCTCGTATCAGGGCGAAGCCCTGAATGTTCCGACTGCCTTTTGAGGTTTATGGAGCAGTAATAACGTTTAAAAATTAAATGAAATAAAACAAAATGAAAAAAAAATTCTAAAATTTGAAATTTTTAATGAAAATCATCCCCCCACAAGCCATATAAAATACAAAAGCATAGATTTTGCTCCTTGTAACAATTCAAGTCGGAAGTCGGAACAAAAAAGTTAAACCTTTTCTCATACAGCAAAGGTTTGAAACGACCAAGTAGCATGCCTCGATATTCAATTTGGAATGACTTTTATTACGCGTTTAATCTCCTTTTACGCGTTTATAAAACGCTACTAATTTGTTTTAAGAAAATGTAGTAATAACGTTTAAAAATTAAATGAAATAAAACAAAATGAAAAAAAATTTCTAAAATTTGAAATTTTTAATGAAAATCATCCCCCCACAAGCCATACAAAATACAAAAGGATAAATTTCGCTCCTCGAAACAAATCAATTATGGCAAACAAGCTTTTTTCAACCAATTTGGAACGATTTTTAAGACGGATTAACTCTCCGCTTACGCGTTAATAGCGCGAAATATATCGCGCGTTAATTGTCCCAAATTGGCCAAAATGGAAATCTTTAAACCCCCATAACTTTACAAAAAATGATCACAGGTAAAATATCTTTTCAAATTTAAGCTCAAGACAACAATACCATTCGAATGATATAAAAAATGTCAAAAATGGCTAGTTAAAAACGGCTAGTTCCGTCAAAAATGGCTAGTTAAAAAGTCGAAATTTGTCAGAAGAAAAAAAAACCCAGCCCGAGCACAAATATTCCGTCACTTTCGTATCAAAAGTCGGAACAACAAGACTGCTCGTATCAGCGCGAAGCCCTGAAGGTTCCGACTGCCTTTTAAGGTTTTACGGAGCAGTAATAACATCAAAAAAATTAAATGTAATAAAAATAAAAGGAAAATTTTTTTTTCTAAAATTTGAAATTTTTAATGAAAATCATCCCCCCACACGCCATTTAAAGTACAAAAGGATAAATTTCGCTCCTTGTAACAAATCAATTATGGCAAATAAGCTTCTTTCAACCAATTTGGACCAATTTAAGACGGATTAACTCTCCGCTTACGCGTTAATAGCGCGAAATATATCGCGAGTTAATCGTCCCAAATTGGCCAAAATGCCAATCTTTAAACCCCCATAGCTTTACGAAAAATGATCACAGGGGAAATATTTTTTCAAATTTGAGGTCAAGACAATAATAGCTTTCGAATGATATAAAAAAATTCGTCAAAAATGGCTAGTTAAGAAGTCGAAATTTGTCTGAAGAAAAAAAACCACCCCGAGCACAAATATTCTGTTACTTTCGTATCGAAAGTCGGAACAACAAGATCAATTAAAAATTTTGATGAGTTTGCGGATCAAAATAACATCCCATCCACAAGTAGCTTAATTAATATCCTCCGCCGCTGAGTTTTTTAAATAAAATTGCTAAGCGCTGCGAGTAAAATGATGCATTTTTATTGGCGAAAGTTGGAACTCAAAACCAAGTTAACATCCTCCCCTAAACGGATTTTGGGGAAGAATGATAAGTTGGTTCATTTTTGAGCCGTAAAACATAATAGACCCGGATTGTTTCACGCAGTACTTTTCGAAATTTTGAAAATTGAATTCAGCTTAATTTGAGCAAGGTAGTCTAATGCTGATTTAAAATAGCCAGATAAATCATTTATCATTATAATCATTTATGCATCTTCTTCGAAAACCAACCACAAACCATTCTCCCCCAACCCCTAGAATCAGCTCCTTAAAAACTGTTTAGACGTTCTTTGTTTCTGTTTCAGATGCTGACAGTGTGAAATCAAAGATACATCTTCACTTTTGGGCTGAAATGATTTGGTTAGTCTCACGGAAACATCTATTTTCAAGTTCAACTATCTTGTTCAATAAATAAGAACATTTTAAATGTTTCCAATCGTTATAGCATAAAAAAGCAGTTTCAATGTTAAAAAGAATTAAAAAGTCACGGCTAATTTAAACGCAAATGCACTATGCTAGTACGGCTCTCTTTCAGTAACTTTGACTATCCAAAAATTCCCCTTCGCTACAACTTTATGGCATCCATTTTGGCTCTAATTTTTTCTAAAGAGTCGGTAAGCGTTACCAATTACTAATTACTAATAGGGGGATTTGGCTCAGAGCCTTCCTGCGGTGTTTTCGGAAGAGTATAGATAAACCGCCTTTGCCTACTCGTGAAAACCCTAGACGCGCCCCTTTTTATTATTACGTCTATTATTTTTTAATTTCAATTTTCTCATTTCCTTTGTAGTATATCAAATACAGGTATCAGCTGTCCAATTGCTTTATTCGAAACCAATTGTTGTTCGATTTATTGCGAACAAATTCTAGAAATTAATGAGGTGAGATTTGATTTTCCCCGTTTGCGTTTCCGATTAGTTGAGGATTACTTCCCAATTTTAGCAGACTTTAATTTCTCAGGGTAGGATGGGAATCACTTAGACTCCGCTTTGATGATTAATGATGGTCCTAGCGATCAAAGTGAAACTTATCGCTTCCAGATTACCTGATACCGTAAAGTGTAGTCTCAATTTTTACGGGCAGATGCACAATCTAAATTAAGATTATGCAAAATCACATCGTAAACAGCTCCTCATTTTGAATAATAATGATAACAATTCCTGGCCTTCTGTGATGTAAATGACTTCAAATAGTCTAAAAGTTCATATTTGGAAGACAGAAGCAATTGCTTTGTCCTTTTCACAGGTAGAAAATGGATATCAAAATTAATATCAAACATTAATGGCAGCCAAAAGCAGTGGTGCGTTAAATATTACCAAAAGTGGCTTTTTGGATTATAAACAAGGTGAATTCCTTGTGAAGGGTTAGAACAGGCGACTGTTTTTTTAAAGACAAATTTGGCGGGTTTCTTTTAACACCCGATTGTGCTTATCAAAATAAAGCCATTGGCTTTGATTTTTGAGTAAATTTTGCTTTTCGATCGACATTTCAATCGTTCTCTATTAACTAGGCCTGCCGTATTAACTAAAAGACAAATCATCCAGTATTAACTAGGCATGGAAGCTTGAACTCAAGTCCCACCCTCAAAAAATTCGACAAAACGTAGCAAAAATCTCAAACAAAAAAAACCAGAAAAATTGTTTCATCATTAAAAAACTTTTTTTCAGAAAAAAGTTGGAACAATCGGTCAACTTCTCTAGCAACGAGGCAAATAATTCTGCTAAACATTGGAGCAAAATAAATCATAATTGATTGGGCAAAATGAAAGTGTTTTAAAGTTTTTTTTTCTTTTTTATCGCTAATTTTCAATATGAGCTCAACCCGGGTGCCGAAATCTCACTGGACGAATTTTTTTCTTCTAAATTTACTCTAGGACGGATTTCGTACAAGCTAATTTTTACCTTGAAGTCAATCACACATATATTTGATGATGACGATGTGCATTTCGCAATTGTCGTTTTCTTTGAAGCAAAAGTTCAGTTGTTCGCTTAAAATTATATTGATTACTCTGAGTATAGATATGCAGATCTAATATAATCTTTACATTTATTACTAATAATTAATAATTGGTGTTAATGCGATTCGCAGAGATGGAAAACCTTGCAGTCTGTTTAAGCATAGTCCGTTCCTCTTCTTTCCCCGCATTCCAAACTATGAGTTCTTTTGTTGAACGACGCTCTTGTTTAGCGACTCAAGGTCGTTTTTTTGCGTCTAGAATTTTCACGTGGTACCACTATCGCAGCCGAAATCGGTCAGGCTGTGGTACCCTGAAGCTGGAGGTCAATTGAAGGGCCTTGGCAGAGGATCGGTTACACGATCTGACGATGACGAAGTGAACGCCTCACCACTATGCTAAGTGCTAACTAATTAAAGAGTCTCTCTAAAATTATGCGCGAAGCCCTCTAGTGGCCAGCAGCTTATCCAGACAACAAAACAATTTGTTTGGGCGTCTCGCTGAACTGGCAGCAGGCTTCAGTGAACTCGCAGCATTCGTATATACTGATGTGCCACTTTCTCGTTTCCTAAGCCCTCTTTGTGCACGAGATGCATGCTAAGGGAAGAAGAAAGAAAACCATCAGCTCTACTTACTCAGGGTTTCTGGTTAGGTTTTCAGAAACCTGCGGTAAACCTGTGGGTCAAAGACCAGCTGGTTTAACAAGCAAATCAAGCGAATGGAGAGCAAAAACGCCTGAATTGAGTCATTTGAGTGCCTTCAAGCAGAAGCTTATCCTTTGACCCTACTTTGAAGAACGACCACTAGGAGCGCATTTTTATCTAGAAAATTAAGATTTAAATCATGTTTTTTCCAAAGGTTTTTCAATCAAAGTGAATAAATCGG